TGAAAGTTGGGCGACAGCTTCCTAAGAGGAGCCTGCGGAATCTGGTGCGTCATCTAGCTCCGTGCGAGTAGACGGGAAAGGAAGAAAACACTTTAAAATTTGAAACTGGTGTTCCTGTACTCTTGACAGCTGGGTTCATCTCGTGCCTGAGAGCTGCTGCAGGTTTGGAGGCTGTGGTTAGACGGTGCCTCAGGAAACTGAGTTGATGTAAATGCCGGGCGTGTGCAGACCGGGTCAATAAAACTTGCTATGTTTAGCTCCGTGCGAGTAGACGGGAAAGGAAGAAAACACTTTAAAATTTGAAACTGGTGTTCCTGTACTCTTGACAGCTGGGTTCATCTCGTGCCTGAGAGCTGCTGCAGGTTTGGAGGCTGTGGTTAGACGGTGCCTCAGGAAACTGAGTTGATGTAAATGCCGGGCGTGTGCAGACCGGGTCAATAAAACTTGCTATGTTTGTGAAACTCTAACATGACTTTCAGTTATAAGAGAATGAGATAAAGACCTAAATGAAATGTTTATGCATTTTTAAATCTGAACTTTAATGTTTCTATATTAATACCACTATATTATTTAGTATAGCTATCACTGTTTGTTAGTATTAATGTTGTGATCTTATTTATATGCCTATTAATATAACATTGTTTTAATTGATACTCTATGGTTATCAACTTCAGGCTTTAATCTTACATTCTTTGCTGTTTTGTTTCCCATGCAGTGGAATGAAATTACGAAATATTTCCGAGCAGGCATGCCATTAAGGAAGCACAGGCAACATTTCAAAAAACATGGAAGCTGTTTTACTGCATCAGAAGCTGTAGACTGGCTCCATGAAGTATTAAGGAATAACAGTAACTTTGGTCCTGAAGTTACTAGGCAGCAGACTGTTCAGTTATTAAGAAAGTTTCTCAAGAATCATGTAATTGAAGATATAAAAGGGAGATGGGGATCTGAAAACTTAGAAGACAACGGTGTGCTGTACAGGTACCAAAATGAAGACCAGTTAACAGAGCTCTTCAGGTTGAGAGCTTTATTTAACAATCTTAATGCTCAGGTTCTCAAAAATACCTTGCTTTGTGTTGAGCAGTTGGGCCGAAAATTAATTGTTAGCACCATTTTAATTCACTCGCTGTTTTACTTTACTGTGACTTGCAGTATAGACCACACATCCTGTATGCTGAGGGCTGTTTCCATGCTTCTGTCTAGCTGAGTTTTTCACTGGCTTGTGTGCTACACTCAAGTGCTTTGGAGGGGAGCCAAGGAGAATTTATTGCAGTAGCTCCGTGCTGTGCAACCAGTGCTGTGTTTACTTCTCTTGTACGTTTTACAGAAAGTCTAAGTGGGAAACAGTCTTTCCTAAGTTCTTAAATTAAAGGTATTGATGGCCCTCGCTTCTCCAGTTCTGTTCTCAGCGCTGTGTAAATATCTGAGTGTCTTCAACTTGACTGGAATCAAGTAGCCCAAAGCTAATTTATAGTATGATAAGGTTAAACAGTGTTCTAAAGAGAAAATTTCAGTGTTTTTCTTCTTACTTTCCTGAATATTTTCAGAATGTTATGGAATCACAGTGATAGGGTATGGTTTTGGTTAAGTGACTTCTATTTCTAATCTATTCTAAATGTATTTAACATCTCCTATTCATTACAGATTTCCCTCAACATCTCCAGTTAAACCTCTACCAACCTCATGTCCGCCAAAAGAGAACCTGGAAAACTTCTCTAGAGACAAAGAAAGACTTTTTAAACTGCCACATTTATCCAGGAGAACTTTTAAAAAACATGAGTTGCTACAGTCTCTGGTAATAACTTGCGTTTCTTAAATAATTATAGTTGCCATTTATTTTCTTTACTTTTTTAAAAAAAATAAAACTAGAGGCAGTCAGCTTTTAGTGACACTTCTGTTGTGTTATCTTCACTTCTAGCTTAAGAAATAAATTGTTCAGTTCTTCTAGACAGTGAAATGGAACATTTATATAGGCATAATGGAAAGATACAGCTGAATTCTATAATGGAGTGTCTTGGTGATGTGTGCTGTTTCTCTTCTTCAATGTACAAAAAGATTTTATTAAATAAACTGTAAATATTCAAACAAAATACATACAAGTAAAATCATGGATGTAACTATAATGTGGCATTTTTTTAAATGCTGGCAGCTAGTGAAAGGTATTATGCATTTGACAAGAAATTAAGTATGCTCTTAAAACTATATGAAGCTGTTTCTTCTAAACAATAGTTTGTTGGGAAGAGAAATGGGGGGCATAGAGTGTTATTAATGCAGCCATGTTCTTAATCAGAAAGAAAGGTCATTTCACACACACCCATTGCAGTATAGGGCTAATTTTGCATCCATGTGATCTGAGATTACATAGAGCTTTAATTGTATATGTACATGTAAGCAATTGAGCATCTTGGGTCATCAGTATGGGAAGGGTTTTGTTTTCTTTTGCATTGTTTTTTCTTTTGACTCCTTCAGTGCAGAATTATCACTGTTACAGTATTTTAAAGTAGTGGGAGGGCTGGAAGGTGGCGTTCTAGCAGTGATCTGGACAATATGTCCTCATTGAAACTTGGTATATTTCATGTTTAGGACAAATAAAAGGCACAAATTATTTAACTGTTCTGCTTTTTCGAAAAGATTGAATGTAGGTGTTTGGCCCTTTATTCTTTTGGGATTTGTGTGTGTGTGCATACTTCCTGAATTTAGATTGCGATCCTAAAGGAGGCTGCTTCACATAATAACACATTTGAATCTGATGTGTTTCTACCTTTTAAATTGCTGACTTCTGAGTTGATCAGGTCTTCCTTCATAGTGTTGTCTTTTGCTTTTTAGTTGGGTATGCTTACATTTCAGTGCTGAAGCTGTTAAGGTTACTCCCTGGATCATGTTTTGGAATTTGATGTTCCCCAGAATGCCCTATACTTCTGAGAACAATTTTTACTTAATTTTGAATTATCCTAAGGGGTTTGTTTATCTTACAGTATAAATCATTCGCTTTCAGGAGAACTTAGAAAAAGCAAAACTTGATGTAATAGAAGAAAACAAGGAAGACACACTGCATAGGAAGGAAATAAGCCAGGAATATGTGCAAGAAACTTGGAGAAATATCATTCTAATACAGTAAGTAATAGAGTATGAAAAGCATCTTCTTATATGTTTTGTGTATGTAATGGCCCAATCAAGCTTTTGGCTTGCAAATTTTTTAAAAATTTTTGAAATTATGTTTTAAATTGAATATTTTTACTAACTATTGTTTCCACATGCTTTCTAATGTATTTATTAACATTGGATTGTTGCATTTAAGAAATGTATTGAAATTTATTGTTGCTGCAGTGGAAGTATATTTTAAGTACCACAGATGCTCTTTCTTACTGATTTTTGGTGTTTGTCCCAGGAAAAAGTGTCTCCTCAAATTGTCCTTCTGGAAGTGAGAATTTGTTAAACATCAAACTAGCTTATCAAGTAACTGTTGCTTGAATAGCTATGGGAAGAACTTGTTAATTACTAGCGAATCTTTTAGGCAACATCTGCTCTCTTACTCCCCACAGTTTGCAAACCATTTTAGGCCTCCCATCTTTGGATGAAGTTTTGCAGCCAACACAGATAATTCCTGAGTATGTCATATACAACATGACTAACACGAGCAAACATGGTGTTGTTATTTTGCAGAATAAATCAGGTAAGATTTTTTTTTTTCCTGGTTTTGCTTAAAGATTCTGTATGGTGTAATTACAACAAACCATTAAAGAAAGATGTTTCACAGTCTGTCTTTTACTTTTTTTTTCCCAAACTACAGTACAGTTCAGTATATTTGTCTAGAAGGTTTTGTAGGTGTATTGCATTCCTTTCTAAGTTATACGTGTAGCAATATTTAAAGTTAGTTTTAAATTTGATATTTTGTACTTGAGGTATTATTTAATACATGTGTGCCACTATTTGTATTGGTTATTAAGACTTGGAGCTTATGTATAAGTAATGTACTTGTTTGTTTATTTTAGAAGACCTCCCTCACTGGGTGTTGTCAGCTATGAAATGCCTCGCATACTGTAAGTCACTGAATAGCTTTTAAGTTTCAGAAACCTATCTTGAGAATTGGAAGTGAAGTATACTTGCAGAGATCTTGCATAATCTTACAGTTAAGATCAATTGTGATGTTTCATTTTGGAAATTCAAATAATCTAAGTGCCTTGATATCCTAACAAGCAATGACAGCAATCCATATCAAAATACTGCACAGAAAGGTTACCTAAAAAAGTTGACACATGTTAAAGATGTTGTATTTCAGGTAATCAAGATTATCAGTTCTGTAGTAGTCTAGTTACCCTGCTTTTATGCTGCGTTGTCTGATTCTTCATATCAATTTTTGGCAACATGAACAGATTAAATTGGTGGAAGAAAGGGCTCCAGTGTTCCTTCGTCCATGAAATGTACATAATGAATTAAACTTCGCAAGCTTTCAGTGGAAGCATGCTCTCCAAGGCCATGAAAAAGCTAAGGACTGTTCTTTTACAGAAATAATTCCTATTAACAAAGAGTCAGGCAGGGCAAAAACTTAAGTGGTTGGGCAAAACCTGTGTGTCATTTCTTTTAATGCAGTTTTTCAGGAGTAAAGAGACTTCCTTTTCCAGGTAATGGCTTTGAGCTGGACTAAAACAGTTCCTACGTTTCATACTAAACTGGGGAGGGCAATTCACAGAAAACCAGTTAGGTTTTTTTATTTGTCTTAGAAATAATCAAACAAAATTTTGCAGAGGGTTTGAGATAAAAGCATGCTGGTATAGTCAGCTTTGTAGTCTACTAAAGTTGTCATGACAACAGAAGGACTAGTTCTGCTCGTTTGTTCCTGGGTCCTGAACTTGGAGTATAGCTCCTCTGGTACCTCCTTATCTGCTCCCCACCTTTTTCTGCAAACAGTCTTTAGAAAAAGCTTATGCTTAATACCCCATGAGGCACCTTTATAGTTACAGTTCAGCTGTGGAAAATGAAGGTCTTCAATGTCTCACTGCCTAGTAGATGAGATGGATTTTTAAAGTGTGATGTTTTAGCTGTTAATCATGTTTTGTGACAATTGAATTTTCATTGTCTGCACACTGAGAGTCAGTCTGCACTCATCCTTTGTTTTGGTATTGATGTATGAAATATCAAGCAGGAAAACTGGAAGTGGTTACAACTTCTAGAAGACTTAGTGCTTCTGTTTTTTTTTTCTTTGTGTATTTGCTTAAGCATAAAATTTAGAAAGGCATGATGTTAAATCTTTAACTTCAGAAGAGCAGAATCAGTTACCTAAGGTGTCAGAGTTACGTGTACTTGAGCAGCTGCCTTGAACTGCTGGCAAAGTATTTACTGTGGAGTAAAACAATTAACACAGGTTTTCACGCATTGGGGGAAAAAAAAAAAGTACTTTTGCAGTGAACCTAATGAAGTTCAGTTTCTAATGGCTCAGATGCAGATTCCCTTGCTAATGAAGGAGCATTCTTGTTCCTTCAGCATGTGCTGTAGCAGACCTGTGTGGTACTAATAGTCTTTCTCCTTTACAGTGCCATTCATTTTTATGAAACTTCACGGAATCTAAATGCCTTTGAGGCTTCCTTTGTCAAATGTGTTTGAAAGTGTGTTACACATACAGATTGTGATTATGTAGGCTTTGCATCTCTATGAGGCAGGCTTTGAAAAGATTCTGGAGAAGCAGAGGATAGTTAGACTGACTTTTTTCTTCCCCACTCCATCCCCAAACTGCCTCTTTAAATGGCTAACAGGGCATGCTAAAGTTAAATGAGTGCCTCTCAAATGAAATCAGAGATGATGAGCTCTTCATACGTGTGCTTGCCCTGCTGTTTAACTCTTGCCCCTATTCATTAGCTCCCCTCAAAGCTATACTAGCTGTAACGTGGTTGGATGGTGTGTGTTTATACATCTGCATGTATCTCTTGCTGCTCAGCGGAACTGTGATAGGGGTCCGTGCAGGGTTAGCGTGGCTTCAGAAGTTCAGTTTGCAGCATATGCTCTTGTGGAAATGCCTCCCCCCCCCCCCCCCCCTTTTTTTTTCTTCAACTGCATTCCCAAAAATGTAGAGCCTCTTACATGAAGAGCACTATTAGGAAAAGCAGGACAGGGAAGAGCTTGATGAGTGGATTAAATCAAAGTGGAAAATATAGCTGAGCACTGGTCTTTGAGCACTTCAGTCCCTTAATTCCCACATCAGTCTTGTGGTTAGAACTAATTTCATGAGACCAAAACCTACAAGCAGGATTTCTGGTTTTTTTGAATTCTCAATTTCTAGTTTGAGTGAACTAGTTCAAGTGGAGACTTTTATCTCTGAATCTGCTAGCTATACTGCAACCAAATAATTAAGGCAGTAGATACTTTGCACAGTGAAAACTAAAAATATAATGGAGCAGTATTCCCCCTGCCAGTGTATTTTTAATGTAGTGTGTGGTAATGTGATTATGATTACAAAGTTTGATCATATCAAAAGTTAAATTTTCCCCTTTTCTATGTGTAATTAAATCTGCCATCTCCTAATTCATTAAAATTGGCTTTGTAAGGTAGCTTATTTCATTTGTAGTTCAGTGGAGTATGAGAATGTTAGGGTTAAAAGTTCTACACGGTGTCAAATTTTACTTGTACCAGGACCCCTTTCACTCATTCCTTTTTCTTGCCTGTAGCAACATGGGCAAGGTTTATTAACAAGATCTCTTAGATTATCAGATTGCTTGTCTGTCCACTTCTGAAGGAAATCAGTTGTGTGTAGCTGTGATTCACCATGGGAGTTATAGTGAATGAAACTTGCTCTTGGTGAACCATTTGAATAGAGGAGTTGAAAAGAGGTCCCCACAAAGGGAAGACACTGACCAGCTCTGTCTGGCCTATGCATAAAGCAACATGTATATACTGGCTGGCTTCTCAGTTTGCACGTTCTTCAAAGTTGGTTATAGCATGAGTTTCTTCTTGGTCTAGAAGCTAGAGCTCCCTGTGGGAGAACTGTGATTACTGTAGCTTGGAAATGAAGGAAAGTACTAGGAGTTTGTTATTATTTTGCTGAGGAACCTATAAAGGGCATAAACTAGTTTTCATTTATTTTCTTCATGTGGAACAGCTCGTTAAAACTGAGCACAATGCCTCAGTGGCTACGTAGAATATTTTACACTGTTTTTGCTTACATATGGTACAATGCTGAACTAAACAAAATATTTGTATGTTGGTGATGTTATTTTCTTATGAAACAGTCATTCCTGCAAGAGTAAGCTTATGCTGACCTTTTAAAATTTCTTTTATAATGGAATTGTGAAATTTTTTTTGTGAATTTTCTTTCTTCACCTTTATTTAGGGCCTAGAAATAATGACATGAGCCAACCAACTTACAGTGGCTTTGAACGGGATGTATTCAGAACGGTTGCTGATTACTTCCTCAATCTCCCTGAACCATTACTTACTTTTGAATACTATGAACTTTTTGTTAATATTTTAGGTATGTATGAATTCAGAAATAATCAGTGCAAAGTATAAGTTTGTATCAACTGAGGAACCAATATGTAATTCAGAGCAGACCTTGACCCCTTGATCAGTATGGCAGCTTGAATCTGAGACCATCAATGCTATTGTTCTGTATTACAATATTAATTGAAATGCAGTTCTGTCTCATAATATTCTGTATAAATCGCTGTCTGAGCTAACATTCTAAATATGCAATAATGAGAACTTAAAAATACATGCTTGTTCCTGTCTATTCCTCACTATTGCAGTGTGTTCTTTATTCTTGCATGTTGGTTGCAACTATCTTGTTAGATTGCTTTTGGACTGGGCTAAATTTTTCTTAATTTTACTAACCAAGTCAACTATAAATTAGTGTCTTATATTTGTGGTCTTCTCTGTTCAATTAGCAACTTCATTTCTTTCTGAACTTGTTCATTTTCATACCACTTGCATCTTAATTTATATTTCATTTTCTGATAGTTATGTGTGGCTACATCACAATTCCAGATATATGCAGTGGAAAACGTTCTGTCCAGGATGAGAAATGTGACCCACAACCTTCAAAAGTTCTTCACTTGAACTCTTTCAAATCAACTGAATGTCTTCTTCTAAGCCTACTTCGCAAAGAGCCTGACAAAAAACAGAAAGAATGTGAAATTTCCAGGAAGTCCTTTTCAGAAGAGCTAACTATTAAAAAAGAATGTGCAAAGAAATTGCTGCAATATGAACTGACATGTAAACAAGGCAGGGCTAATCTAATGGGAGGAAGTTGCCAAAATCTTTCAGGTTTCAGGAATGACCAAGATCCACATCCAAAATTTAGGACAAGATGTTACTCTTTGGAAAGAATTGGAGATACTGCCTCAAGTGTATGTAATAAAGGAGAATCTGATTCTCTCAGGCAAAGTGATGTGAACACCATCCTGGGCACAAGAAGTGGAAAACAATCACTACCGTATGAGCGTAAAGCTAATTCTGTATTGAAGCTTGGTTTCGATAACACATGTCAAAAACAAACTCATGGTATCAAGAGAGTGTCTGCCTCAACTCTTCAGGATAAAGAGCTGTTTAATGAATACCCTGAGTCAAAGCAAATACACAGGTCTCTGAGTTTACTTGGCAAGAGGAACTCTAAAAGTTGTGCTAGCATTAATATACCAGTTGCTGAAATCACAGTAAAGCCAAGGTCTCAACTTTGTGGGCAAGGAAAACCAAATGCCTCTGGTATGGCTTCTTCAGTGGACATCAGGACTGAGGTTTCTGATATCACCATCAAAAAGAGAGTCTGCAGAAGTACCACAGAACTCTCAGAATACTCTTTCACTCATTCTTATATGTTGACTGGCACGCAAAGTAAGATGGCTTTCTAAAGCATGTTGTATTGGCTTATTGTGTTGACTAACTAATCTCTGCTTCCTTAATCTTTGGCACTGTTGCTAGGTTTTTTTGATATGCATATAACATGATCTGTGGGTTTTTAAAAAACGAAATCTGATTGCTAAATTGCACTGTTTAAAGGTAGCCCTTTGTACCTCTGCTAACAAATAGTAGTGTGTAGTATCTTTGGAGTCTTAAACTTGATGTGTTAGTAATTCACCTTTCTGTTCAGGTAAGTGATAAGTAATTCTGACCTAGACACTCTCTAAGAGTGAGGCAGGGAATTTGCACAGACCTGCCTGTTGGAGGAGATGTCTTTTTTTCTGGTCTTTGAAACACATTTTCTAGAAATACTTCTGGGAATAACGTAAGTGTCATTTCTTAATTGTACTGTGGTCTTAATTGTACCAGCAGTTTATCATAATGAAGCAAGTTGAAGATGACCACACAAAAAAAAAGGACATGTAACATTATCTACTGTGTTACAGCTGATTTCTATGAAACATAGATTATAATCATTGAAAAAAAAATTATATTCTTTGTACTGAGATAAAAATATCCTGGAAGTTGGTTCAAATCTTAATGACAGCTATCTTTACAATTAACTTGTAGATCTGCTTCAGCCTCATTTAGAAAGGATTGCTGTTGAAGCACTACAGATATGTTGTTTGTTGCTTCCACCACCAAATCGTAGAAAGATTCAGCTCCTAATGCGTATGATCTCTCGGATCAGTGAAAATGTTGATATGCCACGACTGCATGATGCGATGGGCACGCGTTCCTTGGTAAGAATCATGAGTGCAGCATATCCTTTGTTTTAAGAACATGCCTGAAGTAATGCTGAGAATACTAGCAGTATTCCGTACTTGAGGCTCTTGTCTCATTGCAGTTAAATAGCGATTAATGGGCAGATTTTTCATCTCCAGAATATTTACAAAGATCTGGCTTGAACCAAGCACTTTCTTGTCTCCATCCCAGTATACTTCAAATATTGTTGTTGGTTTTGTTTACTTCGGGAGGAGAAGGGAAATAAGTTCTTAAAAGAATGCAAACTATTGTTTAGTCTGACTTCTCACCCAACTGCCATTTAACTTAAAAGGTGTTGGCAAAGTATCTGTAGAAAACCTTTCTTGGGCTAAAAATTTGGGTACGTGAAGTTATGACAAAAACAATTCCGAAGTAGTACATTTTCTGTGTAGTGAGTTTGAATTCAGACCTCGAAGCTAGTCTTTAAGCTTGCATTGGAAGGACTAAAGATTACTGTCAAGCAAGATTAGATAAAACAACAAAGAATGTGCACATGCTAATATAAAATCAGGCTACTAAAAGCTGGAAATAGGAAAGCTGTAAAAATGTTTTTTTTTAAAGCTGGATGTTGGTGTGCGTTAGACCTTGGTTAGGTTGGCTCTGCAGAATTTTTTATCATCTCACTTGTCTCAAGGTGGCTGATTGGAGATGAACACTTTTCTATAGGGGAAGACTTTCTTATTATTGCATCTTTAAAATATGTATTTCTTAATTTCAAGTACTGTTCAATTAAAAAAAAAAAGTACAAGTCTAATGCTATAAGAAGTTACTTTATTTCAGATGAGGAAAAAATTGGTTTCCTCCTCATTTTACCAGTGGTGCAGGGAAGAGGGATTGCAATGAAAGTTGGTATTGGTGAATTCATTATGCCACTGTGTAGGCTGGAAAGAAGGCAAATCCTTCAACTTCATGTACTAATGATCTGCTAAACACTTCCAGATGATACAGACTTTTTCTCGATGTGTGCTATGCTGTGCAGAAGAAGTAGATCTTGATGAGCTACTTTCTACACGATTAGTTTCATTTCTAATGGACCATCAACAAGAAATATTTAAAGTACCAACTTACCTGCAGGTTGCAGTGCGAGATCACATAGAATACATGAGGATGGCTCAGGTTGGTGGCTGATAGAAGTTTAAGTTCATTTGCTAACTGCAGAGTACTTGCTATTTTTGAAAGTGGGATGAGAAAACTTGCAAATAAACCCGCTATATTTTGAATGCAAACTTCTATTAAACTGTTGGTGCAATCATAGATATTAGCTATGTTATAATATATTGCAACTTGTGATGTCACTGCTTGGATATTTGTTAGGTACCTTCTTACTGAAATAGCACATAATCGTTGGAGTATATGCAGACCCCTTCTGCAACTCTTGTTTCAGTGCAAATATCCAAAGGAAGAGGTTTGTGCCATATTGCCAACGTATTCATACTGCAAACAAATAACTCCTCAGGAGTTTGAAGAACAAAAGGTTTCAACCTCTCAAGCTGCAGTGGCAGAGCTCTTGGAGAACATTATCAAAGATAAAAACTTGTCTGTGAAAGACAAAAAGAAAAAGTTAAAACAGGTAAGAAACTTGGTGATATTTCATCTACTTATGAAAATGCCTTTGCAGTCATTCCTGCAAGAGTAAGCTTATGCTGACCTTTTAAAATTTCTTTTATAATGGAATTGTGAAATTTTTTTTGTGAATTTTCTTTCTTCACCTTTATTTAGGGCCTAGAAATAATGACATGAGCCAACCAACTTACAGTGGCTTTGAACGGGATGTATTCAGAACGGTTGCTGATTACTTCCTCAATCTCCCTGAACCATTACTTACTTTTGAATACTATGAACTTTTTGTTAATATTTTAGGTATGTATGAATTCAGAAATAATCAGTGCAAAGTATAAGTTTGTATCAACTGAGGAACCAATATGTAATTCAGAGCAGACCTTGACCCCTTAATCAGTATGGCAGCTTGAATCTGAGACCATCAATGCTATTGTTCTGTATTACAATATTAATTGAAATGCAGTTCTGTCTCATAATATTCTGTATAAATCGCTGTCTGAGCTAACATTCTAAATATGCAATAATGAGAACTTAAAAATACATGCTTGTTCCTGTCTATTCCTCACTATTGCAGTGTGTTCTTTATTCTTGCATGTTGGTTGCAACTATCTTGTTAGATTGCTTTTGGACTGGGCTAAATTTTTCTTAATTTTACTAACCAAGTCAACTATAAATTAGTGTCTTATATTTGTGGTCTTCTCTGTTCAATTAGCAACTTCATTTCTTTCTGAACTTGTTCATTTTCATACCACTTGCATCTTAATTTATATTTCATTTTCTGATAGTTATGTGTGGCTACATCACAATTCCAGATATATGCAGTGGAAAACGTTCTGTCCAGGATGAGAAATGTGACCCACAACCTTCAAAAGTTCTTCACTTGAACTCTTTCAAATCAACTGAATGTCTTCTTCTAAGCCTACTTCGCAAAGAGCCTGACAAAAAACAGAAAGAATGTGAAATTTCCAGGAAGTCCTTTTCAGAAGAGCTAACTATTAAAAAAGAATGTGCAAAGAAATTGCTGCAATATGAACTGACATGTAAACAAGGCAGGGCTAATCTAATGGGAGGAAGTTGCCAAAATCTTTCAGGTTTCAGGAATGACCAAGATCCACATCCAAAATTTAGGACAAGATGTTACTCTTTGGAAAGAATTGGAGATACTGCCTCAAGTGTATGTAATAAAGGAGAATCTGATTCTCTCAGGCAAAGTGATGTGAACACCATCCTGGGCACAAGAAGTGGAAAACAATCACTACCGTATGAGCGTAAAGCTAATTCTGTATTGAAGCTTGGTTTCGATAACACATGTCAAAAACAAACTCATGGTATCAAGAGAGTGTCTGCCTCAACTCTTCAGGATAAAGAGCTGTTTAATGAATACCCTGAGTCAAAGCAAATACACAGGTCTCTGAGTTTACTTGGCAAGAGGAACTCTAAAAGTTGTGCTAGCATTAATATACCAGTTGCTGAAATCACAGTAAAGCCAAGGTCTCAACTTTGTGGGCAAGGAAAACCAAATGCCTCTGGTATGGCTTCTTCAGTGGACATCAGGACTGAGGTTTCTGATATCACCATCAAAAAGAGAGTCTGCAGAAGTACCACAGAACTCTCAGAATACTCTTTCACTCATTCTTATATGTTGACTGGCACGCAAAGTAAGATGGCTTTCTAAAGCATGTTGTATTGGCTTATTGTGTTGACTAACTAATCTCTGCTTCCTTAATCTTTGGCACTGTTGCTAGGTTTTTTTGATATGCATATAACATGATCTGTGGGTTTTTAAAAAACGAAATCTGATTGCTAAATTGCACTGTTTAAAGGTAGCCCTTTGTACCTCTGCTAACAAATAGTAGTGTGTAGTATCTTTGGAGTCTTAAACTTGATGTGTTAGTAATTCACCTTTCTGTTCAGGTAAGTGATAAGTAATTCTGACCTAGACACTCTCTAAGAGTGAGGCAGGGAATTTGCACAGACCTGCCTGTTGGAGGAGATGTCTTTTTTTCTGGTCTTTGAAACACATTTTCTAGAAATACTTCTGGGAATAACGTAAGTGTCATTTCTTAATTGTACTGTGGTCTTAATTGTACCAGCAGTTTATCATAATGAAGCAAGTTGAAGATGACCACACAAAAAAAAGGACATGTAACATTATCTACTGTGTTACAGCTGATTTCTATGAAACATAGATTATAATCATTGAAAAAAAAATTATATTCTTTGTACTGAGATAAAAATATCCTGGAAGTTGGTTCAAATCTTAATGACAGCTATCTTTACAATTAACTTGTAGATCTGCTTCAGCCTCATTTAGAAAGGATTGCTGTTGAAGCACTACAGATATGTTGTTTGTTGCTTCCACCACCAAATCGTAGAAAGATTCAGCTCCTAATGCGTATGATCTCTCGGATCAGTGAAAATGTTGATATGCCACGACTGCATGATGCGATGGGCACGCGTTCCTTGGTAAGAATCATGAGTGCAGCATATCCTTTGTTTTAAGAACATGCCTGAAGTAATGCTGAGAATACTAGCAGTATTCCGTACTTGAGGCTCTTGTCTCATTGCAGTTAAATAGCGATTAATGGGCAGATTTTTCATCTCCAGAATATTTACAAAGATCTGGCTTGAACCAAGCACTTTCTTGTCTCCATCCCAATATACTTCAAATATTGTTGTTGGTTTTGTTTACTTTGGAAGGAGAAGGGAAATAAGTTCTTAAAAGAATGCAAATTATTGTTTAGTCTGACTTCTCACCCAACTGCCATTTAACTTAAAAGGTGTTGGCAAAGTATCTGTAGAAAACCTTTCTTGGGCTAAAAATTTGGGTACGTGAAGTTATGACAAAAACAATTCCGAAGTAGTACATTTTCTGTGTAGTGAGTTTGAATTCAGACCTCGAAGCTAGTCTTTAAGCTTGCATTGGAAGGACTAAAGATTACTGTCAAGCAAGATTAGATAAAACAACAAAGAATGTGCACATGCTAATATAAAATCAGGCTACTAAAAGCTGGAAATAGGAAAGCTGTAAAAATGGTTTTTTTTTTAAAGCTGGATGTTAGTGTGCGTTAGACCTTGGTTAGGTTGGCTCTGCAGAATTTTTTATCATCTCACTTGTCTCAAGGTGGCTGATTGGAGATGAACTATAGGGGAAGACTTTCTTATTATTGCATCTTTAAAATATGTATTTCTTAATTTCAAGTACTGTTCAATTAAAAAAAAAAAGTACAAGTCTAATGCTATAAGAAGTTACTTTATTTCAGATGAGGAAAAAATTGGTTTCCTCCTCATTTTACCAGTGGTGCAGGGAAGAGGGATTGCAATGAAAGTTGGTATTGGTGAATTCATTATGCCACTGTGTAGGCTGGAAAGAAGGCAAATCCTTCAACTTCATGTACTAATGATCTGCTAAACACTTCCAGATGATACAGACTTTTTCTCGATGTGTGCTATGCTGTGCAGAAGAAGTAGATCTTGATGAGCTACTTTCTACACGATTAGTTTCATTCCTAATGGACCATCAACAAGAAATATTTAAAGTACCAACTTACCTGCAGGTTGCAGTGCGAGATCACATAGAATACATGAGGATGGCTCAGGTTGGTGGCTGATAGAAGTTTAAGTTCATTTGCTAACTGCAGAGTACTTGCTATTTTTGAAAGTGGGATGAGAAAACTTGCAAATAAACCCGCTATATTTTGAATGCAAACTTCTATTAAACTGTTGGTGCAATCATAGATATTAGCTATGTTATAATATATTGCAACTTGTGATGTCACTGCTTGGATATTTGTTAGGTACCTTCTTACTGAAATAGCACATAATCGTTGGAGTATATGCAGACCCCTTCTGCAACTCTTGTTTCAGTGCAAATATCCAAAGGAAGAGGTTTGTGCCATATTGCCAACGTATTCATACTGCAAACAAATAACTCCTCAGGAGTTTGAAGAACAAAAGGTTTCAACCTCTCAAGCTGCAGTGGCAGAGCTCTTGGAGAACATTATCAAAGATAAAAACTTGTCTGTGAAAGACAAAAAGAAAAAGTTAAAACAGGTAAGAAACTTGGTGATATTTCATCTACTTATGAAAATGCCTTTGTGAGGGAAGGACCTCAGCCACTAGACCCTGGTACAGAACAAGAGCAGGCTGTATAGAGATAAATGCTTGTTTTGAAGAAGAGAGATGTCGAATTTTTTGGATTGCATGCTCTGATTGGGATTTTAAAGACCCTGTCTAATACAGCATTTGATACTGTCTGGCAGTAGTGGTGTTCAAACAATGGTTTAAAACCAGTGTAAAATTATTCTGAGATACTGCTCTCTGTTAAATAATATGTGATAGAACTATAGCGTGGTTTTTTGCAGTGCATTGGCTATACAAGTTACCATTAAAATGCCAGAGGTGGGCTTAAAATCAATAGGTGTTAAAAGCAGTGATTTTTTTTGCTTTAAGAGGTCAAGCTCTATCTGTTAGCAATTCTGAAAACATTATTTTCTGTGGACTTAGCTTTGTGTTTTGTAACATGTATATTGCTCAAGATTATCTTGCACTTCTATGGCCTAATACTAAAGTTAAAATAGAGCAATTCTGGCAGGATTTAATACTGGAGGTTTTTTCTTTTTCAGAAAACCTTTGGCAAGTATTTCTGACCAATTGAATAGTATTGTACTTGTCCTAGAATCTCCTAAGCAGGTCTTGTGACTCAAATTTGAAAAAGCAGCTTTTCAGAGCAAGTACATTTCTTTCTCTTTGGTGCCCCTCCCCCAGCATCTGCAACACTGACTTTCATATGTGTTGTGAAAACCTTCTGGTCCTGTAAAAGTGAAGGCTGGACTTTTGTTCAAGTTCACTAAAACTTCCTGCATGTAAAGACAAGTAGTTAATTACAGTCAATTAAAACTTAGAGTAAGCAAGCAGTAAGAAGTGATACACAGCAGTACTTCAAACAGGTGAAGTGGGGAGGAAGAAAATAAAATCCTGTGATAGTAAAACTTGAGGTACCTACTTAAAATTTTTGGTGAGTTCCCACCAAAGTCCAGAAACAGCTTGTACTCTAAGGGCCACATGTTAGCAAAGTTTATATTTAAAATTTGCGGAGCTGTATTGTTACAGTCTTGCCATTTGTTCTGGGATAGCTACTGGTGTGATAAATCTCAGCTTTTTGGAGTGATTCTTCAGTTTTGATACTTTGAATTGGGGAAAGCCAAATAAGTGGCACTTAACTAGAGGGTTAGGTCCAATTTGTATCAACACCAAAAGATACAAATGGTGTCATTTTCCGTAGATTGAATCAATCGGCAGAAATCTTTGGCTGATGCATAGGTGCATGTACCATTATTCCTTCCTGAGGCCTTACCTAGGAAACAGGCAAAATGTCAAAAACGTGTTTCTGAAGCCAAATATTTTTTAGTTGTGTATCTGCAGGAATTAAAAAGTAATTCCCTTGGTTAAGTAGCAAGTTTTCCTGAGAGAATACCTTCAAAATCTGCTGAATCTTAACTTCCATTTAGGTAAAACATTCATTATTGAGATTCTTGAAGTGCATAAACAGAATAGATACCAATGCTGGCTGGACAGCGTGGCTTCACATGGGCGGCTGCCATGCCTGGCTGGGGGTTGGGAAGCCGGTCATGCTGTTCAGACACCACGCAGCATTACTGTTACTCAGCTGGTAAACAACATGGGGAGCAACTGCAGATTGTCATTGCAAATGGAGATCTAGGCAGTTAGAACAGTACCATGTTTGCACATAACGCTATTCCAGTCACAACAGCTAAAAATCCTTGGGAATAAAATGCGATTAGAAGCTTCTCTCATTTCAACAGAAGATGAAGGGCCTGACAAAATTTCTCTTTGAGTCATTGTTTATCGGTTGTGAAGTCATAAACACGAAGGGCTACAACTTTGGTCGAGTGTCACAGCAGAGTAACTTTACATGCCGATAGCCTTGATCCTCCTGCTGATATGCATCCTGACAAGGTGATTCATGCTCAAGTCCTGCACAGCTGGAGTTTTTGGTGGAGTCTGATATTTTATTTTAATTTTTGCTTTTGTATTTTCTAGTTTCAGAAGGAATACCCTCTAATCTACCAGCATAGATTTCCAACTACAGAAAACGAAGCAATGCTATTTGAGAACAAACCCACCATCAAACAACCAATGCTTAGCCTAAGAAAACCAAGATTTCGTAGCCTAAGATATTAATATCACCACATTGCCGCTGCTTTTTTACTTGATGGACGTATGTATGAATGATTTACCAAAGGGCACTTGCTACAGAAATTTGATGGTGGCGCTGCATGTAGAAGGAAGAAATGTTTACATGGACACTATGTTGAAAGGTGCCAAAATAATTTTTTTTGTGCCAATAACTTTTGAATGACTGCTAAGAGAGAAATAAATATTTATCTGTTTACAAATTATGACAATATATTGTGCTCATAAAAAAAAATGTGAAAATAAGCCTGAAGCTATTAGTAACCAAAAGTTTATATATGGTTTTCGTATGGGAAACTAATGATATGCATATTGTTGTAACTTTTTTATGTCTGTTCAGGAATTCATGCCTATTATTATAGTTCGTGTAGGTTTTTAAACATCTGTATGTTGTGAATTAAGTGCCTTGTATTCTTAAAATATTTGTCTTTAAACAAAACAATGTTCTTTTGAGTTTGGGACTAATTTAAAAGTTGTTTCTGTTGTTTCCAAGAGCCAGAAATTCACCATAAATAAATGATTATCTGACTCTGTGAAATACTTCTGTTCATCTCATCTGTAAAACTCACATAAGCTTTTGTGTATTTATTTATATTAAAAGTCTTAAGTATATTTCTGATATTTTCATGGAAAACTTGTTTTGGATCTATTGGTATGCTTCTCAGAACAATAAAGTGAGGGATGATACATAGTATATTCCGATTCTATTTGTTGTCACTAAATTTCCCTATTTTTTTTTCCCAGAGTTAGGGAGTTGCCAAGGCTCCCCCATAAGAATATAAATCTGCACAAGTATTTCTGTGAGAGAATAGTTCAAAGTTAAGTGTTTCCATAAAGGAGATCCCAGCTTAATCTTTAGATGGATATGCTTCAGGCAAAAAACTAAAAAGTCACAAGTATTGAATGATGTTAGTGTGCAATACTGGGCTTGGAGAGAAATGGGTGCTTTTCTCCTCCATATTTGTATCCATCAAAAAAGAAGCCTGAAGTCCTTTTGTTTGTTTTCCCAAACAGACAGGGGTAGCATAATATTTAATGAAAAAAATCCTTTTCCTCTTAAAAGGGTAAAAATAGTGTAGCATAGCAAAAAGATGGATATATCTTTAAGGATTCAATGAAATATTGTTTATATTAAAAGTATTGTCATTTTGGAAAGATGTGATTTGGAACTGTAGTCAGCCGACATGCCAAGCACCAACTCCACCATGAGACCTGTGGATGTTGCTGCTTGTAGTCTGGAAATGGAACCATTTCAAGTTACATGTACGGTAAGTTTTTTTAGAAAGCATGTCCTGCGAGCAGGAGCACTAATGGATCTGCCTCTCACTCCGAACACCACTCTCATCACCTTGTCATCTCTGTCCAAGGAGATCAGAAGGTGACAACAGGGGTTAGAAACACTGCCAGTAAGGGTGTAGCTGCATCTGCGGGCAGCTAGAAAGTGGGGAGATAAGTTGGTAAGTAACGCAGGTGAACTGACTAATCCAATACAAGGCAGCTAAAGGTCCTTGGAGGGAATGAGGTCACCATGTTAAAATGTAATTTCTGTGAGTTCTTTTGTTAATACACAGGGGGTTTTTTGTATATTCCAATACTGTGCCAAAACTGTTCCTTATTAATAAGGAACAATATATATCTTTATATCAGTGTTAGTTGCACTGGGTTTTATTAGCCATATATATGCAATTCACGGTCACGAATGTTAACTGCATGTTGCTGTGCTTGAGCTTTTCAGAATCGTCGGATGACTTGGTTGTTAGGCCTGCAGTCCAAGCTGTGACCTGTCCCCAGCAAAACCCAAGCTGATATTCAGGCGGACTTCTCGCCGTGTGATACTTTCACACTGCTCTTCAGTTAAAGGTTTCTTTAAGCTCATGATATCCCAGTCAATAATGTGCCATACACTGAAACCTTTCTGCATTTGAAACTGTCAAAATTGGGGTTTGTTGTGAAGAATTTGTGTATATGTTCCATTTCAGTTGTAATATTACTTGTAGATAAATCTTAAACCATTTGCTTACTTTGGCTGTATTTGCAGAAAAATGGAAGGGGTGCACTGCAAGCATTGGACTGCAGGGGAAAGTACATTTAAAGTCCAACTTTGTTTTCACTTCAAGGTTTTTTTTGTTTTATTAAGCAGTTTCACGCTTTGTGGAATCAGATGAGTATTTTTTCCTTTGCGTGAGCTGTTTAGTTGTTTGTTATCTTGTTCAAGTGTCTTACGCAGTTCTGAGCTGTGCAGCATAGGTATATCCATTTTGCTTTGTCATGTCTTGCCTATTCCTCAGACAAGAAAGTGAATTGTAGCTGTACCTGCACATGCAGACTCTTACAGTAACTTTCATAAAACCAGTCATCAAAATTAAAATTAAAGCAAATCTCAACTACTCATCTCTTTACCTGGTTTGGGTTTGTTTGGTCTTTTTGGCATCTCATGGGGAGGCTCCCCAATAGTCTTGTACAAGTTCATATGCCATGTCAGCTACTTTGGCGTTATGAACAAGGGCCTTGGGTGAGGATTGTCACTTTCATATTTGGCATCTTAGTATGTTAACTGCTATGGTCTGCAACCATGAGACTGTGCTTCAGTTCTTTCAGGTTGTTCTCGCTGGAAAAATGAGGCAAAACTACCTGTGTATGTATATATACAATTCTATATACACCAAATTAGTCTTGTGTTACCTTTACAGGGGTGGGGGGTTGGTGCAGAAACTTTCTTTCTGATAACTGGGGTATATCTGGCACAATACCTATTTTGGAATATCTCATTTTGTTCTTTTCCTTATGAGGAGGAGGGCTTTGTAAATGAGAAACCACGATTAGCCCAGGTTTAGCCAGTATTAGTAACACTTTAATGTCCTGTAGATAACTTTATGTTTGCATGATAAATGACTGGTAGATGTTCATCCTCTGTAATGCCTCTAGTCAACTACTTTGAAAAATCCAGTACCTGCCTAGACTTGCTTCTGGTTTTTCTCAATCTGTTAAGTGTTGCATAAATGCTTTATTTATTTATGTGTTCCAGTTAAGCAACTTATTAGGCAAGGAGCTCACATTTCTTAGGATTTAGCTTTCAAAGGACTGCCCTCATTATTCAGAGTTCTTGATCCATCTTATTTAATGTTCCCTTCTAAGGTTTTGACAGAACTTAACAAAAACATGAATAGACAAATTGACTATCTATGGGACAGTTAAAACATTCCAAATGAATGACAGATATAAATTTAATCTAAACCTTTCTTTAAGCTATCATTTTCTCTCAAGTGAATTTTTTTACTGGAAGCCTTTTATATTTTTTTTCTTTAAGTATCATATTGCAAAAAGTACAATTCTGTATGGGGAGCAGTTCATCCGAAGTGAATTTGCAGTTGCCTGTAACCTACTGGTTGTGTACAACGGGGTGTAGCAGAATTGCCTGTTCCCTGAAGTATAGCTTTGTTCTGCAAACTGGCACTACAAGGATTCATGGTTGTCTTACACTGACTCGAGAGGAGGAAACGCTGTCACAGTCCAGCACGGAACCACGCGTGCCGCTAGCAAGGATTCTGCTCTGTGGGATTAGGGCATGGTTCTTCTGGGCTTTGCTCCCTTTCTCCCCTCTGAGGCGGTGGGGTAGGGTGGGCAAGGGGCTTAGGGGCTGGTTCTCAATTTTCAATCTCTTAGAAAAGACTGTCATGCACGCACGCTGTGGCCATTTAACTTTTAGCATGTAAAAATGTTCATATAAACTCTTTAGACTTTTTTTAAACCCAATTGAAATGAACCACATTTATTTAAAAACACGTTCAGCAGAAGTGCAATTTCCAGCTCTGGTTAGTTCTCATAAATAGTGCCTTGGGCAAACCAGAAGCTGTTAGCTCAGCATGTGGCCAATTCAGGGGCACTGGCATGGTAGGCTTGTTGGGGTTTTGAATATGCACTTACTGTTCTGCATACACCGATCCAAACCTATCTTCTCTTTTGCTTCAGTGTTTTAGAGCTGTTATTTGTGACTGCCATCTCCGATACCACCTGGGCTGCTGGCAATCTGAGGTAAATAAATGTTGCCTCCCTTTCTTGCACAGAAAGGCAAGATGAGATGCTGCTTCTTGTGCTTAGCAGCACCTTTTTTGCTAATTGGTGCCGATAGTGCCAAAAAATGCCTTTTTAGTTGCATTAATTGCAAGGAAGAACAGTTTTCTAACACAGTGGTAGGTTATATGCTGTCTTACGCTGTTCTTGGTGTTAGTGTCAAACCAGAAGTTGCCTGGCCTAGTGCTGGCTGCTGTGCAGTGGCACCTGGTGATTCCAAGAAAGCAACTGGTAGAAAACAGCCAGGAGGTTATATGGATAAAATGTTAATTGCTAATCTCAGCATTGAGTCATGATGCAACTGTGTACTCCAAATTTAACTCTGTGTGGGCAGCAGACAGAAGTGGCAAAATTAATACTGTAAGGGGAGGGGAGGAAAGACTGAAAATCATAGGATCATAATTTTGGTGGGAAGGGACCTTCAGAAGTCATTTAGTCCAAACCCTGTTTAAAATGGATCTATTTAAATCAGGTTACTTGGAGCGGTGTTGAGACTTGAACACGCCTCCAAGCTCTGCAGCAGAAAGTGCAATAGCAGAGTACTCTGACTTTTATCTTCTCGTACCAGCCTAATGCATCAAGACAAAAGCTATCTGTGAGCAGCTCATCTGGGTCATCGCTCCTGGCCCTGGCTCCTGCAGAGGGGTGGTCCTGGCAGGCAGACACCATCTGGGCAATGTTGAGCGAAAAGGGAGGAGAGCCACAGGGGCTGGAGGGAGGCTGCCCATGGTGGCCATCCTTCTTCTAACTGTTGCCACTAAGTCTGCAGGGCTGGATTGTGCTCAGTGCTGGTAAGATGTAGGAAGAGGAAAACTTGGCTGCTGATAATGTGTGGGGCCAGGGATGTTTGGGGATTTCTGCCTTCTGAGCATGATGAGGGCCTGGGAAGATGCTGTCATCATGGAAAAACTGAATTTTTGTGACATCAAAGATTGGGACACTGGTTTGAGTTCTTATCCCAGGGTTAATTAAAAATTTCCATGTTATTTGCACTCCCAAGAGGCCTTGAGTTTGCACTGAAGTTTATATCAAATATATTTATTGCTAGGATGCTTCCACAGGCAAATTACCATATAGTTAAGGTTGTTTAACATGAAGGGTTAACGGCAGGCCTCGGTCAAAGAGCTCGTGAAGGCTCAACTCAGTATCCTGCTTTTTGGTTAGAAGCCTTAGATGTGAACCTTCAGTCCCAAAGGAAACAATCTATCTTGTAAAGAGAAGAAAGAAAAGAGGAAAAAACCCACAAGAGAAGGAAACCAACCTTTCACTTAGTGGTTGTAGTAGCTGATCTAACATGGGGACTGTCTGATGTCTAATTTTCTCCT